TTTTATAATAAGTATAACTCGATATTAATAAGTATAACTCGATATGAGTTGTCCCCCTTTCATTCTGGCGACAGTGATGCCTCTTAATCGTGTTTCAAATTGATTTTGTGCAAAAACAATTGTGTTTTTCCAATTTGTGGCGATGTCAGAACCACCGCAAGCTAATTTTACGTAGTCCTGTGAAGTTTTGTTGAAATCGGGATAAAAATGTAGGAAATCCGATCCAATATATAAACGTACAGACACACACACACACACACACACACACACACACACACACACACACACACACAACAATCTGCGTTTTATAATAAGTAAGACGACTGATAAACAAAGAATATCTATCGTTTTTAATAACGTTTTTCTTGTATAAATACTATTTAAAGATAGCCACATAGTTTTGATATTTCAGTTAGGATACACAACTTCTAAACTTACTCGGTACAACAACGCGTAATATTTCATATCTTTACCGAGACAGATCTCCTCTTAAAACATGCTACAGATATAGGAGATAAAATCTTCAAAAAGCGTTTATTAGGCTTGCGTCAGAGTCATCCAGAATTTTTAAAGGACATGCCGATTATTTTTCCAATTTCCAAAGGTTAAAGAAACGATGGAGCCAATAACAGACCACGGCTCAAGGAGACATAAGATAACGATTGACGTTGCATTTAAATTTTTGAAGATCAGATTTGACAGGAAAGCAAGAAGTCGGAAGAGAGTTCCACAAGCAAGAAGTGCCAAAGAAGAAACTATTAGAAAAGAACATACGGTCGCATTTAGTAATTTCAGCGGTAAAATGGTGAGACCTAACTGCCAATGTAGTACTGCGCTTAAATTCGTAAAATCGTGGTAGCAAAGCTTAACAAAACAGTTACCATGAAAATACGTATAGAAAAGTCACAGGGAAAATAGGTTCTTTTTTCTTTCTATGTGCCATTTCCTTTCAGGACGTAGGCGATCATAGCTCTCCTCTTCCGTCTATCCCTTGCAGCTCTCAACAAGTTTACTCCCACTGCCGCCTCACCACCCCAGACCACGTTCTGTCATCCACTTGCATAAGGCCGCTAGGTATGTCATGTGTTGTTTTCCTTTGTCTCTCTTTCAACCTGTGAGTATCAGATTCTCCAGGCCCTCCTTCCTCATTATGTGTCCCAGAAACTTCAGCTGACTCTTTCTGATGTTAAGTATAAGCCTCCTCCTTCTTTGCATCCTCTTCAAGACCTCATCGTTGCTCACACGCTCGGTCCATGATATTCTTCGCATCCTTCTGTAGAACCATACATCCGCTGCCTCGAGTCTCTTCGTCATCTTTGAGGAGACAGTCCATCATCTGCTGCCGTTAAGGAGGACATTTATCACGTATCAGCTCAGCATTCTTTTCTTTGTTACCAAAGAAATCCTCCTGTCTCGTAATACTCTGCCTAGCTTTTGCCTCGAGTCTCTTCTTCATCTTTGAGGAGATTGGCCAACATTCGCTGTGTAAAGGAGTACAGATGTCACATAACAGCTCAGAACTTTTTTCTTTGTCACCAAAATAATAAAAGCGATTGAAACCGATATGACAAATCAGGACCGACGATATTGCAGGATCTTATTTGGATTTATCCACAATCCCAATATACATAGCAGTTACACCAGACCAGATGTGGCAGAAATATTCAATGTAGAGAAGAATAACAGGTGTATAACCATGCAAGATTCTGGGGTGAAAAAATTGTCTAGCTCGACAGAGTGAACCAACTTTCCAAGCAGCAGATGTAGCAGTTGATTCAATATAATCGTTTAATTTAGGCAACAGTATATCTTTTATGCATACTTCGTTTAATATGACGGACGAGAAATATATTGTAAGTTTTGTTATTAATTTTTTTTTTTTTTTTCTAATGCCTTTACAATTTTCCTCTTTTGAATAATAAGTTTGTAGGGGAATTGCCTATAATTCTGTAACCATTTTCAAGGGAGGTTTTTAATTTATGCATCACGTATTTGTTTGGAAACTGGACAAAAACAAACTAGTCCCAGACAGTACAGTATAAAAATCAAACACCACAAATATACGGACAATCTTCGTTACCACAAAAATAAAAAGCGCTCAGGACAATGAACATTAGGGACAACTCCTCTATACAGTTCTTGGTTTATGTGCCATGTCCTTTCAGGACGCAAGAGGAAATGGTTCTCCACAACTTCTTGTACTTTGTAGCTTTTAGAAATAATACATTTTTATTGTTCATTCCAATCCATGAACTGATATCCATTTATACAGGATTGTTTGGTTAGTTTCTCTTTGCCCGTCTGGTTTTCAATGTATCCTCTCAGTTTTAAATTCTCTAAACCTAACGGAAAGCCACATTACGGATCCAGAAGATTTAAAAAAAAAAAAATCCATTTTCTTTAGGCCTCCCTCATTGACTACATGCTACGGCAAATGTATTCTCATCATCCTACTGTAGAAACACACCCCTTCATCTCAGAGGACATTGTCCAACAGCCACCGCCATATAGTAAGGTTGGTATTATATAGCAGTTTAGCACGACTTTCTATGTTTCTAACTTTTCCTGTTTCTTGATACTTTGCTTAACATTTAGAATGCAACTTCCGATATTCCGTTTTAACACTTAGCTTTCAAAAAACGAAACTAGAAAAACTGAAGAAAATTCTTACAAAATATACCGTTATATTCAAAGAAACACACCACACACACACACACAGATAGATAGATAGATAGATAGATAGATAGATAGATAGATATTTAATAATAGTGATCATTATATATATATATATATATATATATATATATATATATATATTCAAGAGGATAAAACCCAGGTGGAGCTCTATGTACAAGACAGAGCAAAAATATAATAGAAAAGGCCCAAATATTAATATTTTATGTTTATAATTTATTACATTGAAATCGTAATCACGATCCAATTTATCAGTATCTCCGGTTTTAAAAAAATCACTGACAGTGTATGTATGGGAGTGAGAAACAAGGGTGAGAGGGAAATGTTTGAAAGCTCTAGAGAGAGGGTGTAACAGAAGAAAGAAGAACAGGAAAGGCCTTAACCTTAATAAAATTTAAAAGAAAGAAGTTTTAAAGAGAGAAGTTAAATAACGGTTTTAAGGAGTGAGATACAAATAAATATGAGTTACTAGCAGCATGGCCCGGCGTTGGCCGTGCTTCAAACAAGAAACGTACGACTCATACAGCAAACGCTATCACTTGAATTAAAATATTTTTGCCCTTCCTTGCCTTTAAAGGAGTGCCCTTTCCGTGCTGATGTTGCTACATGCCTTACTTCTTGCCTATCTCACGCTGCAAATTCTTTCTAAGCTCTATACTAAACATTAAATCTGTTACGAAAAACGAACTAAACAAAATGAACACAAAACGATCAGCTTTAAAAAATGACTCGTAACTGGAAAAACCGAATGAAAAAAGAATGTTAGGAACAAATAATTTTCACACCTAACCCAGTTCTACGGAATCAGAATCAACGTTGAGTTTAAGCAAGCGAATGAGCCAATTGAAGTAAAGTGCCATGCAGATTTAAATTTTTCCCACTTGTGACGAATGCAGCTATCGATTTTTTTCTTTTTTGCATGCTAGCATGCTAGTTAACATTCGTGTCAGTCAGTTTTGTCTATTTATTTTATGTAAATTCTTTTCATATCGTCTGATAAGCTTAATAACATTATCATTGAAAGACGAAAGAAAATCACCATATTGATACATATCTTTTTAATCTAAGCTTTCGGCTTACATAAGCCATCATCAGAGATAACAAATACATTACAATAAACTAAACAATACACGGACATAGCAGCAATGGTAGTCAGTTTTGTTTGCATGGAAGATTTTCAAGCAACGAAAAACTCGTGCATACGAGCCACTGGAAGCGAAAATCGCACCGCGGCTCATGACATCACACATGACCACGTGAGAGTGAAAACGAGTTAATTATGGGAAGCCGTTGGTATAAACCAATGTCTTCTGTTATCAAATCTAGGCATTTAAGTATATTTGTGGCGATTTCGTAGTTTATTTTGTTCAGGTTAGGTTTCAACTGTTTTATGTATATAGCTTTAAGAATTTTAAGTTTTTGTTTATTGTTTTCATGTTTAAGTATAGTTGTGTTTTCAACAAGGATTTTCCGGAATTGTGTACACGGCCAGGCATGTTGTTTTAAATGCCTAAAAATGTCAGAATAAACAATAAAGAGAGAGAGGGGGTGAGGGAGAGAGAAACAGAGGCAAAGACACACATATAGAGACAGAAAAAGTGAAGCAACTTCTTTGCCGGCAAGAATTTTTCCTATAAATTTTTCTCCTATAATTATCTGATAAAATGCAGATGGGAGCAAATTTATCCACAGGACAGTGTATTTATTCAACCTGGCTTCCTAATTATTCACTACTGTGAATGCAAAGATTACCTATAATTTTGTACTTCACTGAACACATTCTGTGTTTCCTGAATTAAAAAAAGAGCAACATTTGTCGTCTTCAGACGAAAATATATATGAAAGCGCAAGGCTTTTATTGAGAACATTAGACTTGTAATAAGTCCCATTTGCAAAGTCTAATATTTATATCTTATGTAAAAGAAAGAAAAGAATCCCTTAAAGTATACAATGACATGATGCTATCCACACACACACACGCACACACACAATCACAGACATGCGCTTGCATATATATATATATATATATATATATATATATATATATATATATATATATATAAGGAAGGGGAGGGAAAAACAGATTGAGTAACTTGCGCAATGAAAGCATTATCATATGCTCGTGAGGACAGAAATAGACACAGTGTTTGCAAGTACTCTTCTACTGGAAATCAGATTAGGGTTACGTTCAATCGATCGGGGGTATCGATCCAAAAAGGCCAGAGACGCATGCCTGCCCTGTCTGGTTAATCGAATGACATATCGATCCATCAGTAACCTATACTGCTACCCTTTCCTTCGCCGACTCAGCGCCGGCAACATGTGACGAGATGTGGGGGAGGGGGCGCATAAATGCGACCTACTATTGCCGATTTTAAACGAAGTGGGCAGAGAAATGGCTGGATGGGAGAAGAAAGAAAGAAAGAAAGAAAGAAAGAAAGAAAGAAAGAAAGAAAGAAAGAAAGAAAGAAAGATAGATAGATAGAGGTAGTAGCAATTGAAAGAAAGAAAAAAAAACGAAAAGGATTAAACAAAGAAAAGGGAAAGTGGAAGTATGAACAAAGAGGTCGATAAAAATATCCAAAAAGCTTAAAGAAAATAAATAATTGATTAATGCATTTAAAAAGTGATGTAGTTCATTCAGTGAATTCTAGAATGAAAAAAAAAAAATTAAAGTAGGAGACACAGAAATGAACGAACTAAACAAATGTAGGAACAGATTTTCTATGGATTCGAAAATGTTTTGAAAACTATTTTGAGAGACGGTAAAAAGCTGCGGAAAGCAACTAAGAAAGAAAGATAAAAAGAAAGAAAGAAATAGAGAAAAAAAACAGAAAAATATAGAAAATAACAGAAAGGAAGAAATACAATGGTCGTAGCAGAAATATAGGGAAAAGAACAAAAGAGAAAATAAAGAATGAGTTAAAAAAGGAGAAAAAGAAAAATACAAGTACAAATGGCGACGAATACAAAAAGAAACGAAGAAAAAGAAACTCTGACTGAGATGGCTTCTTTTTTTTACAGATTATCAACCCTTTGTAGGTTATTTAAGTCCGAATTATATTTTTTTAAATTGTAGGAATATTCATTTTTTCCGAGTGAATATTGCATTATCAATTTCCTTTTAAAATAACAAAGACTTCTTTCTAGATCAAGTCCTACTATTTATTCCATGGCTGGGTAATCAATAGATTCATACTTTTCCTAAAGATATTCGGATGTAAGGGAATGTTACAAACCCGACTGAAATTCGAAATCGGCTCTCCAATTTCTTATTCCAAGACACTATCCATTACATCACACGGGCATCCAGAAAAAAAACGGTGGGGAAAAAAAAAAAAACGGAAAAATAATGATGAAAGAAGAAAGAAAGAAAAGAAAGAAAGAAAGAATAAGAATATTAAAGAAAAAAAACAGAAACAAAGAAATATGGGAAGAGAATAAATAAACCAAAAAGAATGAAAAAGAATTCAAAGAACAGTAAAGAAATCGAAAACAGCAAAAGAATAACGAATTCTACAAGAGTAAGAAGGGTCTAGTGTGAACTTCCGCAGAATGCGTTGTTTCTGCCGACCTTGCAATTCACCCTTCGAAATACCGGCTTTTATCTGATTATGAACCCCAACACCAAAATCAGATACGAAACTACCTCAGCCGTCATACAATTTCTGAATCGTTTACCTTGTTTTTTTTTTGTTTTTTTGTTTTTTTTTTTTTTGTTCTTTTTACTTTAGTTCACCAAATACAAGGCCGCCATTCCGCTCAACGAAGAAGGTTACTGAGTTAGATTCCTGTAAAGGAGGTAGCAAGACTTGCATATTGTGAGGATTTATAAGATAGACAATGGTTTACTCTGGATAAGAAGAGGCTAAGTTTGTAGTTTTCAGGGAAGCATCTCCTCGGGAGAATCATCCTCTGATAACTACAACCCTGACTTCTTCATGATTATACAGTGAAAGAAATAGATAGATAGATAGATAGATAGATAGATAGATAGATAGATAGATAGATATAAACAGACTACGACAGATAATCAAATAGATGTATCTGAACATAGACAGATTAAGTGATGAATAGATAGGTACCTACGAAAAGACTGGTGGAGATATTAGATAGATATATACAAATCTATCTATCTATCTATCTATCTATCTATCTATCTATCTATCTCTCTCTCTCTCTCTCTATATATATATATATATATATATATATATATATATGGACTGAGATAGATAGATAGATAGATAGATAGATAGATAGATAGATAGATAGATATCTCTTGACGATGAACTTGAAGCGGTTAGTAGCTGTCAGATAAGCATCCTCTCGGGAGTTCCTTTCACAAAGTAACAGTTCTAGGGAAATATTTGTCCGAGTGGAACTTACTCTTTATCAAAGGAACCCAAAAGGAATACGGATGCATTGTGAACATGACATGGTGGGTCCTAACTATGAAGTTTTGAACAGGTGAGATTTAAGAATGTCGCTCGTTTGAATAGTTGCCATTGTAATGGCGACAGAACAGTGAGAGCCTTGTAACGTTTCTTCCATGGGATAGGGGGTGCAGGGTGCAAAATAACTCATCCATCACAAGGCTACGTTTCAACTCTATTATGACTGTACAGTGAGGTCTGCGCAGCACCAACTTAGATATATATTTTTTTTAAAAATTTCACCCCAAGTATGGCAGGAATGCCACTAGCACGTAAGTGGTTACGTAAAATGAAATTGAGAGAAAAGAGTGGGTGTAGCGGAGACACAGAAGATGACGATTGACGTTGCATTTAAATTTTTGAAGATTGTAGTTTCAGGGGAACAATTGAGAGGAATGGAATCTCACAGGCGGGAAGCTCGAGGAAAGAAACTGTTGGAGTAGAGGTAGCGGTTATTTTTAACTATTTCAACAGTGAATGGGTGGGACTTAAATACCAATCTAGTAGCACGCTTAAATTGATATCGTCGGGGTACCAGGGACAAAAAGCTCGGCTGAGCAGTAGATTTATAGAAAAGACAGAGGGAAGCCATACCACGTCTCTGAGGAAATGTCTGAAGGTAAGAAACCAATTCAGGGCCGATTCCAATACAGTTCCTACTTTCGCTTTTGTCGAAAACCTCGCGATAAAGGGCAATGGCACCAGACCAGATATGGCAACAGTGATAGCAATACCCGGTCTGATCTGACTCTTGTTAAGATAGAACACAAGCAAAATGATGTAGGGATTTTCTTGGAGAAATAACTAAAAACCGACAATTTTTTCCAGCTTCTGTATTAGTGTTACGAATATACGAGCTCCATTTTAGATCTGGAAAGATCTTTGGTCCCAAAAGACGTTCATGGAGATGAGTCTATTGATAAAATAACAGCTCATCAGGACTGGAACAAGTTTAAAGTACGTTTGGTGATGAAACTTTTCTAGCTTTATTTTGATGGCATTGTCGATTTTCTAAGCGTAGCTTAGATGTGTCACGTGGCTGAAAGTAAAGGTCACTCATTATTCAGTCGTAAGTAATCTAGCGAGACAAGCTTGTTAAACATTAAACCGCAGTAAAGTCCCCTTGTTTTGCTGGTATTGAATGACACAAGATCCATTGACCTGTGCGAGGTTACCTACCAAGAAAAAATAAAAGTTTTATGTCTTTCTTATGCTGCCCAAGGAAAGTTTTCATAAAAAGGACGCTGATCAAAACAGCAATTGTTATCGCCAATAAACTATAAACAGGAAAATGAATCAAAGATTCATGGTATCCCCTGATTGATTCGCCAGACAATACAGAAATATTCTTTGTTTTTGATTACAGGACACATGGCGTCAATAAGATATATACTCTTAGCTTATTACTTTAAACGTTGCATTTTAGTAGATTTTAGTGGACATACGGTTTTTCAAAGAAAATTATAGCTGTCGGCCTGTGTATTTTCGAATCTTCAAAAAAAAGATAATTTAATCTCCGGAAAGGTTCGAACCTGCGTCATCCATTGTAGGGAAAACCACCATCTAGTTCGGCGTAGAGAACTTCACCGCCCAGAAAAAATTCAGTCCAGATCAAACGCCATTCTCCTCTACAAACGAGGACAAAGGTTTTAACTCTGCCGAAATGCATGTTCTCTTTGTTAAGACAATCGTCTCTTGTGACGTCCCCCGGTGTCGCTGCGTCAATCGTGACGTCTGCCTGGCCGCGTCGCCGTGCTGTCCTAGTCGCGGCGCCAGTTGTGACGTCACCCCGTCTATCTCCGCGCCGTCGCTGTCCTATCCTGTCCCGTGACGACTAATGTGACTTGGTATTGGTCGCGGCACCAAATGTGACGTTCTAATCTTTTGCTGATTCGGATGGGAATCTGGTTAGATTCGGTATCAGCCTTGTCGTTCCCAGCTCGTCTCCAACGTCTGGTTACCGAAGTAACTGTTTTGATTTCTAATCTAACCTACCCACGTTGTGATATGATCTTAGGTAGACGAGATCAATCAGTCGCCGGGCCGTAATGCAAGCTGCGTCCGGACAAGGGTAACACCACACAAGTATATGTAAAAGAAAATAGAATAATAATTCGAAAAGTTCAAATGTGTTAAAAAAGGATAACAATACTTTATATCTGGTTGCTGAATACAGGACTGCGTCATCTTCCCAACCCGCTATATGTTTGTTAGGCGAGTCTTAACATCTTAAGTTGTTTGTTCTTTAAGAAACTGTTTCTTGGTGTATCTTCAGGCGATATATATGTTTTGGTGGTGTGAGTCTAAGTCGTTCTCCAAAAATAAATTGTTCTTGGTTAGAAGTTGAGGTCGTGATTTGCGTGGAATCTTTCAGTCAGGTTCCTGCGAGGCGGGCCCAACTCAATTCAACTCAGCTGCGAATTGCGACCTTAACTCGAACTGCCAACTCAACTGGAACTGACTTTCACTTGCTGCGACTCTGCTTATATGGACGTCGACCAAAACCGGGGTGGGCTTCTCGGGGTTTGAGGGTCCTTGATAATTCTAAATCCACAATCCACTTCTTTGTTTTCGGTCAGGAAAATTTATCATTTTCCATTTTTGGAAATATTTCGTCCTCCCACCTTCTTCTGTTCTCGTATTGGTATCTCACCATACACTCAGAGGGTGTCAACGTGTTTCCCCTCTCTCTCACAGTGGCATCTCATACCGATCCCTTTCAGGGGGCGGGTTGTCAACAGACCTCCCCTCCTTCTTCACATGATTACCTTCACCTGCCGCTCACGCCAGCATTCAGCCAATGGGCGCCCAGCAGTGTGGGTGTGGCCAGACTGGCCTCGGTTTAAAAAAATCTTGCTCAAATAAAAAAAAAAAAATTATCTTCCTTTTTCTTTTCTTCCTTTCTTTCCTTTCTTCTGCCCGACAACAAGTCCTTAGACTCTCATCTTAACCGAATTTTATATGGAATTCGTCACTCGGGACCTTCGCCAAACAAGTGAGTGGTCAACTGGATGTATCGCACCTTGGTGCCAATTATTCGTCCTGATAAAATAATTTTGCTATCATAGCCAGCCCTGACAATAAGCAGGTGTTTTTCCCAAATGACATGGAGGTGGTTCAACGGACATTTTGGTTTCGGTTAAGCTTGACCTAATTAATTTTTATCTCCCAGCACTCTGCGGGAAGTCGCTTGTCCAACTTGAAATTTTTACCATTGCCATGGGCAGGTTTGATATATCTTATTTGGTGCGTCCTCATAAATTAAATTAAATCCGACACATCCGCGACCTTACTTTCCTCGCTAATGAGAATAAAACCTTTAGCATTTTTCTTTGTTAAAAAGAATAACATCGCTTAGTGTCCTTTTCGTGATGGCTTCTTATCACCTAAATTTAATTCTCGCCTTTTTTTTCTTCTTTTTTTCTAGCAACCTAAATATGGATGTTTTGACCCCAGTTTGGGGGTTAACTATTTTCCCATAGCTAGGACCCTAACAGGAGCTATCACATCGAGTTTAGGTGAACCTGGGATCACCAGCAATTATGAGGTTATTCCATGGTCCTCATAGCCTCCTGATCAGTGACCTTGCTGTCGGACGTAGATTATCGTCTTACCCATGAGAGTTTTGTTGTCTGAATTTAGTGTTCTAGGGCCATTTATGGTACAGTTGCTTTGCCGATACTGTTTCTGGCTATTGGTCTTTCATTTAATGTAGCAGTAAACAGAGTTGTATGCTTTAAATACTAAGATTACGAAAAAAAATCTTTCGTACGTAAAATTATTCTTTCTTCACTTCAGGATTTCATCAATTGGTGACGATGTGGGAGATTATTTTTTTGAGGGTGGAGGATTTGAACGTTGAGCTTCTTCTCACGGGGTTGTAAGAGAGAATCTGTATTTTCCTTCTCAGATGGGGTGCTTATAAAACTTCCTAACATCTGCTTGAACAACATATGTATATCATGAACCCAGCTAGTTTTAAATAGCGGGGCAACCACCAATATATTCTGAAGGGCGATTCAGCATCTATTCTACTATGTCATCTTCGAAGTCGACCTTCCGGTGCTACGTTGTGACATCGAGTGCCAAGACTATTTGGTAACATTTTATTCAGTATAACAATTAAGGTAAGTCCAGTACATTCTGGAAGTCACCATAAAGATAAAAATGTGCCTTATTGAAATTAAATTCAGACCTTTTCCATTTCCAAGCATGGAGTAAGTACGTCACTAAAATCTGTTGAATGATTGTGTATAAAAAGTTATAATTATGAATATAAGAAATTATACTTATTTCAACTACATTCCTGTTGATGTTGGATAGAAAAAAATCCTTCCTTACAAAATAAGATGGCTATATTCATTGTTCTTTATGATAGCTGGAGATTGATTAATTTGATTTTAACATCATCGTTAATATTTAAAATCCTGTTGAATATATATATATATATATATATATATATATATATATATATATATATATATATATATATATAAAAAGGAAGAGTTTATAGTAGTTCCAACGAGAAAAAGAGTGTATATTAAAAAGAAGAGAAAAACCGTAAACGTATTTGGTTGTAATGTGGATTTTTAAAAAACAAATACTGTGCTTTATTTTCCATAATAAAATAAATCATAATATTCAAAAAAAAAAAATACACATTACAACCAATAACGTTTGCAGTTCCTCTTTCTTTTTATATATATATATATATATATATATATATATATATATAAATATATATATATATATATATATCTCATTAAATATATCGTAACAAAATATGTATATTGAAAGTACACTGAATAAAATGAATATGTATCAATATGGTAAATTGTAATTACTAGAGATTATTTCAAAGGGGACTTTAGGTCCATATGAGTACTCAATTTTATAATAATTTTATGAAAGCAACATACCAGTAAACAAGCCCTCTTGCAATTGTAGAACCAAAGCCAACTGCCCTGTTGGAGGTATTTGTAATCTCTAAATGTATACCAAGCTACGATCTTTCCAAAAGAAAATATTAATTATAAAAAGTATACATCGGTATCTCTGCTAGGAGTTGGAAACAGACGTTCTAAAATCACAGGTATTCCTTCACTGATGCTTCTTTAATGCACCAAACTGCTTTCTCTAAACATCTCTGAAGACCTAAAGATAGAGGATTCACCCCACAGATAAAATGGGATATCATTTGTCAATCAAAACTCCCAAAAACTTCCGGAATAGATGCAATCTATGCCTAATATGAAAAAAAATCATAATAATTAAATGCAAAAATCCAGGCCAACTATTGAAGGAAAGAAATGAAATTATTTTCAGGTGTCGACATATAATAGATTTAAATTACCCTAAACGCATTTACATTGTGGATAATGCACTTATGATTTTGGCTTTTTATTGTATATGTGCACAAGCATATATATGTGCATGCGTTCGTATGTATGTTTGTATGTGTATAAGTATTTGTATGTGCATGTATATAGGTCTGTAGATGTATTTGATTATTTATGCGATTATCTTGCAGATGCCTACATCATATATATTGCTTATTATCCTTACCAGTATTTTTGTTATTATTATTATTTGTAATTATTTATTATTTAATATTATATATATATATATATATATATATATATATATAATATTTCATTTATTAATTTTAATGTGTTGTTATTATTATTATTATATTTTTATTTTTATTACTATAATAACAATCATTTTGATTATAATTAGTTATTCTTGTTATATAGATATATATGTGTATATATATTCATATTTTTATATATGTATGTGTGTGTATGCGTAAATATCTATGTGTGTGTATCTATATATATATATATATATATATATATATATATATATATATATATATATATATATATACATGGGTATATATGTGCAGTTGTATGTTCTTGTTCATATATATATATATATATATATATGTTTATATATGTTTATATATGTATATATATATTTGTATATTCATTTTTATCTTTTATTTGTTTATAATAATATATATTTTTCTTATAAGTATATTATAGTTTAATTATTATCAATATATTATGCTGATGATGATTATATGATGATGATTTTGATTAAATAGACACCATTTTAAGCACTTTCTCTGTGAAATTTATTTGACACATTTGTGAAGGAGGAGAAAAAGGAGATTGAATGAACGAAAGAGAGAGGCAGAGTTTGAGTACGTACTCCTATCCGAGATAATCAT